TGCAACTCTCATACTACTGTTTCTGTCCATTGTAAATATGCACTATTTGTTGGGTTGTTTTGAGAGAAAGGACATTGACTTGCACAGAACTTAAGTACTTTAAACTCAGAGAAAGGAAAATGAAGTGTGGTTTGGAAAAATCAGGGAATGGTTTGCAAAATGGTTTAGATTTCAAGCTTATTGTTTAACGGAAGTGGGAGGAGGGAATCTAGAACAGGAAGAGATAGGGAGTCCCCTGTCTGGGTGGAAATGGAGAGGAGAGCAAAGGCCTCAAGTGCTGGATATGCGACACCTTCTGTTAGGAGCTACATGTGAATTGACCATTCCTTTTCTGAATGTAGGAAGCTTAGATGTCTGTTCGGACTGTATGTAGGTTAATTTGCAATATTTTTGTAAGTTTCTGTTCAAAACATTAGAAATATTGCTTATGCAAAAGCTCCCAGATGTCCAGTGTCGCATACTGTTACTATGTTCTCCTGCCATTCCCTCCCAGCACTCCCTTTACCCTTCATTCTTAAAAACCTGGTTCAAAGGGACCTCCTCCCTGGGTGCCCCTCTTCTCCTTAATGGGCAAAGTTAATTGCTTCCTCCTCGGTGTTCCAAGAGCGTAATTAACGCCCTTGACAGCAAGTAGCATCATCATGGCATGGCTACCTGGATATTGCTCATTGATTTCCCCACTGCCATGGTGTGGACAGCAACCGTCACTTGTGCAGCCCTGAGACCCAACCTGGGTTCCAGCACCTAGTAGTAAAAAATTCCAATTTGTTAAATAAAACATTTGTTTTGCTCCCGTTCCTGTTCTTTGTTGGTTGTAGTGGACATTCATGTATAATACACAGGTAACACAGAGCTGCGTATATAATCGCTAGGCCATAAAGAACTATGCTAATCTGCCCATTTAACTCCATTTAGACCAGTTTGTTGGTTTTAAGCTTGTGATTGCAGATGGAATCCACTAGGTATAACTGGAGGAAAAATTAAAAAGTGATCACCAAAATTATCTTTATCTAATATGTCCTTGATGAGGGAAATGTGTTGCATTCCAAGAAGGGAATTTTTGCCCAATTTACTTTTTGGTTTGCATATTCATGGTTAGCAAAATCCCAGTTCTTCACTGCATTTAGGAGAAAAAAGGTAGCTTTTTTCCCTTTCCCTTTGGACTGCATGACTACTAAAACTAGTGGTTATTCTAGACCACCACTGTCCAATGGAAATTTAATTTAAGCCACAAATGTAAACCACATATGTAATTTTAAAAAGTTAGTGGCCACATTTAAAAATATGAAAAGTAACATGTGAAATTAAATTTTATAATATATTTAAAATGTTCTGCACCCAATTTTGAAAGGGGGAGGGTTCCTCACACAGACAAGCAGGGTATCAGAGAATACAGCTCAATTCTGAAGCTATGCACTGGAGACAGTATCAGATTCCACAGGTAAAGGGTTCTGGCCCACATGGCCAACCTCCTCTTCAGATGCTAATAGCAAGCCCAGGTTGTTACCTATTCTTCTGACCGGCTGGCTACATACTGGAGACTCCTAGGACCTCTTCTCCCCAAATATTTACATGTTCACCAACCTGGAAGTTCTCCAAACCCCATTTCTGGGTGGATTTATGGAGGCTTCATTATATGGGCATGATTAATGAAATCATCAGCCCTTGGTGATAACTTCAACCTCCAGGCCCCTTCCCCACCCCAGAGGTGGAGACTTGTGGGGGTGGAACTAAAAGTTCAACTCCCTAACCACTATATTTGTTCCCCTGGCAACCAGTCTAATCCTTATCTGACCTCCTAAAGTAGCCTCATTAACATAAGAAAAGACACTTACACCTGGGAAATTCTAAGGGTTTTAGGAGCTCAGTGCCAGAGAAGGGAGGAAAACCAAATATACAGGGTCCAGCACAAATAATGCCCCTTTTTCATTACAAAATCTTTTATTACAAAATCATAAGCATTATGGTTTTGCTTATGTAACATAACAATATCACACTCAAGCATACCATATGACATTTTAGGTGAAATGTTCAAATTAAAACTATAAATTATTACACACATACCATTACCCTACCAACTACATTCAAGCAGGTGTTACTTCTGCCAGATCCTGTATAGTGGGTTGGCCAAAAAGTCTGTATGTTTTTTTCTGTAAAATAAAGATACATTCTCATTTCCACCAATAATTTTACTGATTTGGATATTTTGAGCATGTCGGCTATCTCTCTCAAGGCATAACATTGATTGTTCTTTAAAATGTCTCTATTTGATCGCTATCAACTTCAATTGGTCTATCCAACCATGGAGCGTCATTCAGGAAGAAATCTCCAGCAGGAAACTTCACAAACCACTTTTGACACATTTGATCAGTCACAGTGCCTTCTCCATACACTGCACAAATCTTCTTTGGCATTTCAGTTGCATTTTTACCTTTCTTGAAAGAATAAAGCATAATATGCCAAAAATGTTAAGTATTTTCTTCCATCTTCAGTATTAAAATGGCCACAAAAAACTCACCAATTTTCATAATATTTTTAAATGCACACCAGATGACAACTGCTACAATACAACTAACAAAATTCTTTCGAATGAAGTTAAAGGCAATTAAATGCTACTGGAGCCATCTTATGGAAAAAACGAAACAAACTTTTTGGCCAACCCAATATTTCTTATTATAAATCACATAATCACAATATTTAATTCAGTAAATCCAAATATTATCTTTTCAATGTTTAATCAATATAAAATAGATTAATGTGATATTTATTTATTTATTTATTTATTTGAGCAAGAGGAAAGCGGGGAGAGAGAGAGAGAAACATTAATGTGTGGTTGCCTCTCGCACGCCAGGGACCTGGCCCACAACCCAAGCATGTGCCCCCACCAGGACTGAACCGGTGGCCCTTTTGGTTGGCAGGCCGGCACTCAAACCTGAGCCACACCAGCCAGGGCAATTAATGTGATATTTTACATTCAATTGTGTACTAAGTCTTTGGAATCCAGTGTGTATTTTATACTTACAGAATATCTCAATTCTAACTTCAGCGGCTAATCCCTATGATACTGGACAGTGCAGTTCTGACTAGCTAACACTCATTGAATTTTTTTCATGTGCTGTGTGCTTTACCTGCATTCTTTCAATTACTCCTTAAACTGTAGTTGATACTACTGGGCTCATTTTAAGGTGAGCGAACTGAGACTTAAAGAGCTTAGGTTATTTGCTTGAAGACAACTATTGGGCACAGTGGAGGTGGGAGGAGGCTTTAACTTCAAAATAATGCTTTGCATTAAAATGAAAGCTATCAGAAGAGACCATGTGGCAGATTTCTGAGATATTTGTGGGAAAAATACTGAAGATTAGATACAGGGGTGGAAGCTGATTAACAACAGGTCAGAGGTGTCTGGAAACATGTTTGAAAGAAGGAAACATTTTGAAGCAAAATGTGTGGGAAATGATTACAATTAATTTACCCATTAAGACTCTACCACTGATGCCCCTCATAATTCAGTTCTTCCCTGCCCAGATGTTCATTTGTTAACCATTTGATTGGTACGTTCTCAGACTGAGTTCTCTTCCTTCCACATTTAACATCTGTCTGCTACACGAGGTTTGGATAAAACTATGTGCTATGGTGACTGATCTGAATTAAGACTAGAGTCTCTGAACAACCCTGATGCCACAGAGGCCTGTAAAATATTACCCTGGTTTCATGGAGTATACACATGTGCAAATGTGGCAGTCTCCTTTTTCCTTCACACAATGTTAAAAATGAATAAAATGTATTTCCCATTGCACTTCCCTTGTGCTGGGAGACTCAACAAACTCATTTTAAGTTTCTACATATTTATAAAAATATTTTGTTTTGACTGAAATATGTTTTTGATCAGGAACATAATTTCACAGTTGTATGTATGTTTCTGAAACAAATATGTATTTGGAACAAGTGCATGGAGGAGGGGCTCTGGTGACCCAGACTGGGTTCTTGAGTCTAACCTCAGCCTTACCTCTCGATGATCTTAAGAGAAGGAACCAATCTTCTAGCCTCTGCCAAAAACCAGTCTGCATTTTGTCTCTATGGATTTACCCATTCGTGATATTTCATCAAAATGGAATCATACAACACCTTCTATTTCTGGCTTTTTTTTTCATTTAGCATAATGTTTTCCAGGTTCACCCACACTAGTGTGCATCAGTCCTTCATTCCTTGTTATGGCTCAATAATATTCCATTATACAGATATACTCATCACCCTTGGCTGTTGTCCTACTCTAAACATGCTTGTCCATGTACTCGTTTGAGTGTCTGTTTTCAATTCTTTTTGGCTTTGTATACCTAGGAGTGGAATTGAGGGATCACATGATATTTCTGTTAAACTTTTTGAAGAACTGCCAAAATATTTTTCCAACCAGTAATGTAAACAGGTTCTAGTTTCTCCACATCCTTGCTAACATTTGTTATGTTGTTTTTTATTATTATAGCCAGCTTAGTATGTGTCAGATGGTACAACAATGTGGTTTGATTTACATTTTCCTAATGACTACTACTGATGTTGAGCATCTTTTCATGTGCCTGTTGGCCCTCTGTAGATCTTCTTCAGAGAAATGTCTATTCAGTTCCTTCGCTCATTTTTTATTGGTCAGTTTGACTTTTTGTTGCTGAGTTGTATTCTGTGTATTCTGGATTTGAACATACTTTCTCCATTCTATAGGTTGTATAGGCTTTCTTGATAATGTCCTCAGATGCACAAAAGTTTTAATTTTGATGAAGTCCAGTTTATCTATTTATCAATTTATCTCTTTTTTTCTTTTGGTATGTGCACATTGGATATCATTTCTAAGAATCCATCACCAAATCTAAGGCCATGAAGATTTACCCCTGTGTCTTCTAAGAGTTTTATGATTTTAGCTCTTATATTTAGATCATTAATTCATTTTGAATGAATATTTATATATGGTATGAGGTAGAGGTCCTGTTTACTTTCTTTTCTTTTCTTCCTAGGAACCCTTGAAGGAAAGGGACTGCATATTTTTAATGTGACTTCTCTAACCAAGTCTGAAAACATTTTAGCTGCCACACTGTATTTCTATATTGGAGAGCTGATACACATCAACCTGAGTTGTCCAGTGTCAAGAGGATGCTCCCATCATGCTCAGAGGAAACATGTTCAGATTGATCTCTCTGTATGGATCCTCAATTCCAGTGGAAACCAAAGTCGACTCCTGGGTCATCTTTCAGCAGATGTGGCCAAACCTCATCGAGACAGTGTGTCTTGGCTGTCTAAAGATATCACTCACCTCTTGAGAAAGGCCAAGGAAAGCGAGGAGTTCCTCATAGGATTTAACATAACTTCCAAAGGACACGAGCTGCCAAAGAAGATGTTATCCTTTCCTGAACCTTATATCTTGGTATATGCCAATGATGCTGCCATTTCTGAGCCAGAGAGTGTGGTATCAAGCTTCCAAGGTCACAGGAATTTTCCCACTGGATCTGTGCCCAAATTGGATAGCCATATTAGGGCTGCCCTTTCTATCGAACGGAGGAAGAAGCGTTCTACTGGGGTCCTGCTGCCTCTGCAGAACAATGAGCTTCCTGGTGCAGAATATCAGTATAAGGAGGATGGGGTATGGGAGGAAAAAAAGCCATACAAGACCCTTCAGACTCAGCCCCCTGAGAAGAGTAAGAACAAGAAGAAACAGAGAAAGGGACCTCATCAGAAGAGCCAGACACTCCAGTTTGATGAACAGACGCTGAAGAAGGCAAGAAGAAAGCAGTGGATTGAACCTCGGAATTGTGCTAGGCGATACCTTAAGGTGGACTTTGCAGATATTGGCTGGAGTGAATGGATTATCTCCCCCAAGTCTTTTGATGCTTATTATTGCTCTGGAGCGTGCCAGTTCCCCATGCCAAAGGTACCCATTGTTCTTTATCCTCTACTTCCTATTTCCATAGAGTAGCAAATTGAAGGAGTGTTTTTATTTACAAATCTACATGGGTATTTATTCATTGCATTCTAAAGTATAGTAGGTAACATGGTTATATTTGTTTTTTCTTTAATGGTTGTTAAAGTAATATGAAGTCAGTATTGGTACAAAGAAGGATATGAGAAAAAAATGTATGTGTCAAGCGTGTGGGTTTTTTCTGCTGCTTCCAAATATAGTGCATATTCAGTTACACGGCCTATTCAACTATGTGAATCTATACCTTTCTACAATGAGCCAATCACAGATGGTGGAAGGCTGACTTGGAAGGGGTATTTAGAGAATGAGCAGATGTCATGGGAGCACATTGAAGGACTAATTGGATTGATGTCCTGATGTAGAATATTTTTTGATAGTCTCTTCTGGGATGAATTGTCCCCAAGGGGTCAGGATCAGCATTGGGCCAGGTAAACTCACCTCATGAAGTCCTCCAGATGTTTATTGCATTTGCTTCCCTGATAAACATCAGAATAGGATACAATGACTCTGGAAACTTCTTCCAAGACTCATTTCAACCGGTCAGAGCTTACCTTGTCTCTTTCAAAATCAATAAGGACTGCACTTTATCATATCAGTACTCAGTATTCTGCCAATATCATTTCTGATACCTCCCCAACCCCACCCCCATCTTGCATGCAAGTCCAAGTGACTGTTCTTTTTGCATTTATAGCTAGTAAAATATAGTAGTGCCCTCTGGCCTTCAGTTAAGCTTATTGCTACACTTTCATTCTTAGCTTATAACTGTTTAAATTTCTGATATACAATGAAAAGTGGTTCTAGGAATAAAATTCAGAGGAAGAATAGAGGTTTTGTTTTTGCTTTGCAATACTTGAAGTGAATCAACTTCTGCTGCTGTAGAATAATGGAGAAAAAAATCCTTTGCCTCAAAGAGTAACCAACTTCTGCTGATAGATCTTTAAAGCAGCATATTCTAGTCCTGTGATCACTGGGATGCTAAACGTACACACGCAAAAAGGGATGGGCCAACAGACTGGACAAAGTCAAGTCAGCCCCAGGGTTAGGCACTTGATTGAAATTCCAATTTCTTGTTAGAATGTCTGGAAGAACAAGCTTTCTACATTTTCTGAGACTCTCCCAAAGATTTTTTTTGTGAATTTCATGTTTTGTAAACCCAAACACAAAGTAAAGATTATGTACATTTACAATTATATAAAAGCTTTATCTTTCCTAATATTCACAAAGGACATTTCACTGATCAAACAAACGTCACTCAGACTGGTATAGCATTCACAAACACACAAGAAAAATGCCAAACATAACAGGTAGTGCTGAATATTTTACAGAGTGGCTTCCTTTGTAGTGTTGAGCAGCAGAAATGGATTCAAAATCGGACTCTAAACCCAGGATGACTGATATTAAGTGGGCTGCTGAGTCTTCCAAATAACCGCTCTCATTCTCATAAACCGTCATTTCTCTGGGTAGCCTGAAGAAAGCTTTTCTCTTCCCTCCTGACTCTGGGTTTGAGGGCCCAGGGGAGCCATGATAATATGGAGATACTCAGCCAGTTAGCTCTTCAGCCCCTAACTCTAGAGACCTGGCCTGGTCTCCACCCCTCAAAGTTACTTCATCTCTTGTTGGCTCTGCCTGCTTTTGACTGTTCAAAGACTTTCCTATTGCTTCAGCAGAAGTTTACCATGGTTCTCAGTGACTTAAGAATAATAATAATTTAAAAACTTTTGAGGGCTAAGTGAAGAATGGCAGGAACAAGTTGAAGGAGAGAAGTATGTTAGTGCAGCAGTATGATTAGGTGTACATGCTTGGTCATAGCTGGGCTTCTTAACCGTAATGTGCCTGCAGACGGCCTGGGGATTGTGTTAATATTCAGGATCTGTTCCAGGGGCTCCGGGGATGGAGCCTATGTTTCTGCATCTCTAACAAGCTCGTAGGTGTCACTGATACTGATGGTCCAAAAATCACACTTTGAGTAGTAAATTTGAGAGTCAAATCTTTTTGGCTTGAATCTTGGTTCCTCCTCTTAGCAGATAGGGTTTTGGGGAGAGGTTACTCAAACTCTCTGTATGTTAGTTTTCTCCTCTGTGAAATGGATACAATAATCAATAATAAAAATAATAGTAGCTATATAATAAACACAGTAGGAAAATGAGATACTAGAGCAACTTGCACATAGTAGGCACTCATGAATATTTGCTACTGACAGTATTATTAATGGCCACCGCTGAGACTGTAGAGGACAGAAAATTACACGCAGGGGGCGGAAGAAAGACCCTGTAGGGAGAGATCAAGAGAACAAAAGATGTAAGACAAGAAAAGATTTTGTAAATGTTTCTAGTCCCTTTTTAAACATCACAAAGCCTAAAATGGGATTCTCTCTGTGGGTTCAACAGCCCGTAAGCTCTTCCAGTTATGTTTCTTTGGAGAATAATAGAATCAGGAGAGCATCGGTTGCAGCAACTGAACTCATAATAATATTTGTCAAAACTTGGAATGGCATCAGAACTCCAGGGAGACATAACAGGGATAAGTGTGGAGTTTTCTCTCTGAGCTCGAGATTTCCCTTTGCCAAGTGGAGAGTGGAAGTTTGGCTGTTACATGGAGTTCTCAGTCTCTCATCACCTAGTGTGGATCTGCTTAACTTTTAAAGCATTCTGGTGGTTCCCTTTAAGCCTTCCAGACTTTGTGGCTTTCAAGTGGTCAAGTCACCAAAAGGAAGGAAAACATAATGTGAAGCTGCTACATTAGGGGTAATTAATCAGCATCGCCGATATCAGCACAGTGTCCAACATGGTAACCAGAGTGAACTGTTTAAATAGAAAAATAGTCTGAGCAACAGAGGAAAACAAGGTCTCTGACCAGATCAGTACAAACACATATGGAATAACTGAGGCGCCAAAGAACCTTCAGACTTCAGATATACATTTTGCTCCAGAGAGAAGCTCTCCCAGGCCAGACTCCTCTGCCGGCCCTCCTTCTTTTTGGCCTCCTGAGAGAAAGCCTGCTCTATATGGCGGGGCTCTGCGTCTGCAAAAGTCAGCAACCTGTTCTGTAATTCAGAACAGCTGTGTTCTGCCTTTCCCAAATTCCAGGCTTTGCCCTTTCACTGATTCCAATTAGATAGTTTCTGGGCTATCACACCCATGTGGGCTGGACTGCAAGAGTGTGGAGCAAAAGCCCATGGCCCAGGTCAGGAATGAAGACTCTTAGCTGATGACATACTCTCCCCTGCTAATGCATTTGTAATCAAATTCAACTCGAGGACATCATACGGAGCTTGGCAGGTGCGGGCCTGACCACTGCAGATTTCATTCACAGGCACGGCAGTTTGGATTTTTCTGACTTCTAGCCCCTACAGCCAATCTGTTCTCCCAGGGAGAGACCCCTGGAATCCTGCCATAAGATGAAAAATACCCACGTAGCTAAAGCCAAATCGTATGCCTTTGACTCTCTTCTCACCACCTTTGCAAAGATGGAAAACAGAGATTTCAAATGAAAATGATTGAACCATTGTTGCTGACAGAGGTCCCAGAAAACCAACAAGAATTAGAGGAGTGAAGTTATTTTTGTATGGAATGGTGCAAAAGCTAGGAATAGCAAAGGCACAAAACTAGGCAGCAAAGAATCTAAACACTTTGAACCAAGCATCCTATAAAAAAAAGAAATCAAAGTGTACATTTGATGAGTTCAAAATGACACACCCTCAATTAATTTCCTGAGTTTTCCAGTTCCAATCTCTGTTTGTAATTATCAAATCTAAAAATCCTAACTCTTGATGTACTGAGTTACCTGAGTTACTGAAGCAAAAAATCACCTAAACTGATGAAGTACTGTTTCTCCCTCATTAAAAATGGAAACTGGGGGAGGGAAATAACGCAGATCTGCATTTGTGATTGATAGATTTCCTAAACTATATAAAGAGAGTCATGAGACATATGATCAGAACTCAAAAACAAACAAAAATTATAGACTGGTGATATACTTCAAATAAACAAATTACTGCATGGATCTTTTGTGCATGACATAATTATTTCCTGGTAATGGCAGCTTGGTCAGAGGATTCCATAGTGAAAAAAAGGGGGAAACTCCCTAGAAAACTGAGAAGTTCATGATAAGACATACCAACTGAGAATCATGGGCTTGTACTGAATTTCATGAGCCCACCAGAGACTTCTCATAGTTTCTGAACCTATCATTTGTGAGTTAGAGCATTCAAAAAAAAAAAAAAAAAAAAAAAAAAAAGACAGGAATTTTCCTAGGGAACACCCATGAATATTTTCCATATCTACTCTGGGTCATTTGCACAGAAACTTTTATTTTTGTTGTTCGGAATTATTTCCATAGAAATAGGTAAAGTGGAGTGTATGTTATTTCTTATAAGTAGTCCCTCCACTTGGTATTTATTCAGCCTAAAGCATGCCCTGTTCTAGGCATGCAGAGCAGTGTTCATCGACTGAGCCCTCATCTACTTAAGTAGATCCACTTCATGGGAAATTTAAATAGTATAGAGGTCATTAAAACATTAACAATAACAGAATAATGTCAGAAAAAAATATTGATTAAAAAATTCTTTTCGGGCATTATCATAAGCTGTTTGGATGATTGAGTCTTGAGAATAAATCAACAGAGAAAAGTAGACGACTGCAAAAGTTTCCTTTGGAAATTACCAATACTGAGGAAATAAATGGTGGCTATTGACCCCTATTGTACAATACCTATTGCAGTTTGTGTCCATTACACAGGTTTTATTGATCCTGGAGAGCTCATGCTATGCCAGATAGAACAACATAAACTTACTTTTTTAAAGGGGAAATACCTTTCTCTGCAAAACTAAATAATTGAAAGTTAACATTTTTTAAAAGCATACTTAAAATACCTAGGGGAGAGAGAAAAAATAGTTGTCCACCAAGACTAATTGTTAAATAATTTATGCCTGTTCACAAGTAAGCTGAAGTCTAACCTATGGGTAATTGTTTTCGTTAAAACTGAAAGATAGGATGAGACAAATCAGACTTTTTTTCTCTGCCAAAAAAATCCTCTTTCAAAAAAATAGTATGCCATCTTCCTATATTATTTGCTTCTCCCTTAATTTATATGTACCCTTGATCTTTTAGCTTTTTCCAGTTTCCCACACTGGGAGTTTTAGGAGCATGAAATTAAAATACCAATTCATTGGCACAGAGGTGTTTCTGAGCCATGAGAAACATAGCTCAAAACCCTGAAATCAAAGAGCCAGCGTTTTGACCTAAATCCTGCTCCTGAATTCACATGTGATCTCTGGCAAGTTACCAAATTTCTGTTCAAAATGTGCTTAAAACAGGATAGATTCACCTGTATAAAAAAGACATTGGGGAAAAATAATGTTGAAAAGTCTGTCGTTTCTCTTGAAGCTCCTACCACTCTGGCAATACCTAAATACCTGGTGCTTGGAGAAGTGACTGTCTGTGCTGGGCGGTGCGGTATGGCACTGTTTAAATCAAACCACATGTTTCACGTGGATGTTAATGGTCTCATTTGGCATTTTCTCATGAACAGATTTTACACAGGCTTCTTTGGTCAAACTTCTGACATCCATGCGATAACCTTAGGTTCCCTAGATTATTCCCAGAGGATATGGCCCACTCTTAGAACACTGTTAACGCAGCCACAGCAACGTGTGGACCCATGGAGCAACAGTGACCCCCAGCGGCCAATGGTGCGGTCTTCTCAAGCCCAATTTGTGCTGCTAAGGAGAGGTGAATACTTAGGAGAATAATTGCCATCCAGTTCATCCTGGTGGCAACTATTAAATAAATCAGTGTCCCTTGATAAAGCTGTTTTATTTTTAACAACAAAGTATAAATACCACTATAGCAGTGGCAATAATGTATCCATGTTAAGTAGGGTGCTTGTTAGGGTTCTTTATGATTAGCATAGGATGTAGAACGAGTCGTTTTTGTTGCAATCCTATTGTTGAAAACATCGTAGGATATATTAATCCCATTTGGGAACTAAGTTATTCAAATCCTCACTCTACCACTTATTATCTTTTTGACTTTAGATGTGTTGTGCTTTTTGAGTCTATTTCTTTACCTGTAAAATATAAGAAATCGTTGTTTTGTTGTGGGAATAGAGATGCTATGTACAACATGCCTGACACATAGCAGGCACTTAATAAATTATAGTGATGGTGGTGTGGGAGATTGGCTGAATGTATCTGGGTGCCAGGGCTTTATTAAATTGTTGAAAGGAATTCATTATGTATGCATTTTAGTGATGAGGGGTGAAGAGCGGAAAAGCAGTTTTGTTTAACTTGTATGTTCTCCTATTTCTTTTCTAGTCTTTGAAGCCATCAAACCATGCCACCATCCAGAGTATAGTGAGAGCTGTGGGGGTCGTTCCTGGAATTCCTGAGCCTTGCTGTGTGCCAGAAAAGATGTCCTCGCTCAGTATCTTATTCTTTGATGAAAATAAGAATGTGGTACTTAAAGTATATCCTAACATGACAGTAGAGTCTTGTGCTTGCAGATAACCTGGCAAAGAACTCATTTGAATGCTTAATTGAATCAGTTTATTTTTATGGACTTTTTTTTTTTTTTGCACTGTCAACGCATTTCATTCCAAAAGATTTAATAGTCAAAAAAAAAAAAAAAAAAAAAAAGGAACAAATAGACTGACAACTTCCACCATGGAGAACTGGACTGTATTTGTTTCTGAATGTAACTGAAAGCAAGAATTTAATAAATATAAACATCTATTTCTTTTTAAAAAACACAAGAAAAATGATAACTCAAACTGTTTTTAGAACTGTTAGAGAATGCAATGATTTATTTTTGTAATGGGCTTTGAAAATAGATTGGAAAAACAATGATAGCTTATCCTTCATCTCCACTCATAGAGAATAGAATAATTTCCTATTTTGAAGTAGGCTTATTGCCTTAGATTCCTGAGGAACTCAGTAAGTGCTAAATAATCCAATCAGGTTTGATGTTTATCTTAAAAATATGAGACGCCTGTTTACCTGTGTTTTTCTGCACACGACATTGTGTGAACAGTTGAGTGGAGGGTGTGTGCAGAGTATTATGTGCATGTACGTGTGTGCACTGCCAGGTGCCTGTGCCCTCTGTAGGAAGGTTTGCTTAACATGGCTTTATAATTCAGTCTACACAGGATTCTTTGTTTTTTTAATTTCATGTTCTGGCAAGCACCATTCAATTATGAGAACTTTACCAAAAAAGGATCAAGTGATCCAAGAGCATATGTAGAGAGTTACCACTTGGCCCAGACATTTAATTGGAAATACAGTTGTTTTCATTTCATTGCCTCCCAGAAAAGGAAACCAGCAACCCCATTTTCCAAAATCCAGATGTAATTCCTCTTCTATACCTCTTTTTGTATGTACTTTCATTTGTTCTTCCAAATTGAATTCAAAAATCCTTCCTGAAACCATTAAATTCTTAGTTCTCTTGCTATGCTTTTACTTCCTGTGAAGTAATCAATAGATACTGAAGTTCAAAAACTGATGGAATATTGGAGATTTCTTTAAATGACCAATTGATTTACAATCACATATGCATTATCATTCTTTGGCCACATTCAGGTCCAGGCACGTTTTCACATGGACCAAGAGTTTTGACTCAGCCATGAAAATTATTCTTTAGCAAAATTCACTAAAAATTATCCACTAAGAAAAGGAGTCAAATATATATGCTTTGTTTTCTCTCGTTTCCATTATTTGCCATAATTATTTCCTCTTATACTTTTGTCCTTGAATATTGTCTTAAAATGTTTTCACTCATTGTATATACATGTGTGAAAACAGTCAGAAGTGTTTTCAGACCATGGATTGTTATTGATGTTGTATCTGTGGTTAAATTAATCCTCATCTTACTTCAGCCTCACCTGAATAGAGATAACTAAGTCATTTCAGAGGCTGTGAAGTATCAGATGATATGTGGCTTTCTTCTGTCTCTGCCCATAGTTATCTATTGAGGTTCACCATTTAATAAATATTTATTGAGCATCTGTTTTGTAAAAGACACTGTATTAACCATGTGTCCTCAGAGTCCTAAAATGAAGAGTCTGTCTAACTGAGCTGGGAAGCCCTTCTGGCACTGAAAATTTGGGTTTATAATATTGGCTATATCATACACAGCTTTCTTGAATGGATGATCGTGAGATCTAAAAACATGGCAAGTATCTGTGTCCATAAATGAAATGCAAAACCATTCGACTCTTCAGTGCTTATGAATGTGGAATTCTCTGTGTAAGTGGTATTTCTATCTTATTGGAAGCCCATTTAAAGAAGATTACCATGAAAATCAGTTTTCGATACTATTAGAGTACGCAAAGGCTGGCGTTCACGTGTGTTCACTTCGTGAATGAGACGTACCAGTTCTAAATAATAAATTAAGTTCTGGTGCTTGAGTTACTATGTTTCTTATAAATCATTTGTTGTTTGTTGTTGTTGTTTTCTGGTAGAATAAAGTTAAAGATTCAAAATGAGATAGGTGATAAAAATTACTTTTAAAAAATTTTTATCAAAAATTTGAAAGGGAAATTACATAATAGAAGTAAACCAGCATGTGGCCACCATATATCCCAGTCATACTGTTGTTTTTTTTTTTTTTTAAATAAAGGGAACTCCTTTTTCATTGGTAGAGTTGATGAAGCTTTTAATTAGTTTTTTTCTAGAGGTGTTTCAACCAAACCTCTAGCAATTCCCAGTATTACATCTCAGTCTTTTTCTATCCAAATGTCTCTTGCTACTTTTCTTAATGGAATTGATACCTACTTATTGCAAAGTAAAACCTAAAATGGCTCAAAAGTCCTCTAAATAATAAAAATGTCCAAGTATAAACTAATTAAGATTTAATTTTAAGTAGCAATTTATATGACAAAATTGCAACTCAGTGAGAGAGTTTGGATAGTCTCTTGGCAATCAAAATCATTCTGGACCAGTAGTTCTGCTGGGGTGGCCATGGAACCATCATTCCACCGCTGCATTGAGGACATGTTCTGGTATGAACAAAAAAGTTCTATTCCCAAAGAATAAAGGAAGGTTACTTTTCACTAGTGGCGGTTGAAATAAATGAGTTAATATTTTAATTAATAAAAATTTACTTGAAATAGTTGGAAAATTAATAAACTACTTCACAATTTGTTAGGTACTATTGTCTGTATAATTACCACATAGATTTTTAATAAGTCTCCTGATATAAAAGTGGCAGTGGTGAGAAGAAAAACTACATTTACAATTCCATTCCTTAAGCTATACAACTCCATCTCTGTCTGTCTGTCTGCCTCTCCCCTTTCCCTTGGCTTCACTCCCCATCTCTGTCTGTCTCTGGCAGGTCTGTCTCTCTTTCTCCCAACACTCATCCTAACCCCACTCCTAGATTTGAGACACAGAGGCACAAACTCAGTCGCTGATAAAGTGAGTTTTTTTTCAATAACTATTCTCTTGAATTCAAATTCAGGGGCTGCCAATGTCAATATAGTATTTTCAACGTTTTTTTGTTGTAACCTGTGTAAATAATATGCAATTTACAGGATTTGGGGTTGTAGAGTTGCAACTGGAAGATTGGATTCCCCAGATCTCAGGACTACAGTATTCTAGATACATTTTTTACATTCACCTAGCTTCATATTAACTGATGATCATTTATTCAGTAAGATAAGGTTTTTACCGTAATAGTTCTGGAAAAAACTCTTGTTGCCCATTTAATATTTTCATAGATAATTGTATGTGTATAATATTATTATCAGTCTGACATAAAAATTTTTATATAATTACATTGTTCAGTTTAGTCTTTCTGCTATCACTCTTCTCTGTGCTAACAAGTAACTAATGTCTGGATGTTGACTTCTTGTTGAATTGAAGTTGGGTTAAAGAATAGCTATGCACACCTGATGTGTAAGATTAAATATGAGATTAAATAAGAAATCTTGGGTAAGTCTGACTTCTCTGTATAGCTTTTTGCCCTTAAGAATTGTATATATAATGTAGTTTATAGGTAATTAAATGATCCCCCTTTTCTAAGAGCCAAGCTTTCCTCTCAGCTTTCTACCGAGTTTCTGTAAATGTTTTAGTAGAGAATTTAATGCTTGTACAGTCAATTGCAATTTTAAAAATATATATTATATATGTATATGGAAAAACTTTAAAGATGCTTTTAATTTATTTAATGATTGTTGCCTTCCTATAATGGTAATGATTTTCATCCTTAGGTGGTGAGGAAAAAGCTCTTTTAGAATAGTTATTACATAAAAAATGAATTTTGGTTCATTAGTCAAACCCACTAAAGGGGCACATCGCAGTGAAACTGTGAAGGACACTTCACTACTAATGTATAAGCTTTGCTGAATTTGTATCCTTTCCCTCCAGTGATGGTGAGCTTTTCGTTATATAGTATGAAAATAAAAAAAAAACCCTGCTTAATTGAACATTCCCCCAGAGTTGAACATTTTTAAACTCAAATGGTTTTGTGAATGGAGCATCATAATCTACTGTTAACATAACATGATTAACACTGTGGAAAAATCTCAAAATGCACTCATAAGGGGAAAATTCTTATGTCTTCCAAACTTGAGAAACTCAACTTGAATTATTCCATACTCCTCTTTTATTCCTTTTTGTTGTTGTTGTTATTTCTTGTTTAACCACAAACTCCACATTTCCTACTTTGAGAATTTTTTTTTCTGGATGCTTGACTCACTTTTTAAAATATAACTTTATGTCATCAGTCATTATTACCATTTTAGAATGATAAGCATCTAAATTTAATTAATCCAATCATTGAGATGTATTTGACCTTTTTTTTTTAAGCCTATGGCTTTCACTTTAAAAAAAAAAAAATGACCTGAGGTAAAAAAATAAATTATGCTTTCATATTATTTTCACTCATTTAATCTATTTCTGTTAGATTTTTCAATACTGTAATGTTTAAATAAAAATCATAGCATTTTGTAACTACAAGGCACTGAAGAGATCATTTTGATCATGTTATTTATCCCTTCTGTGCCCCATTTATCTTACCTGTGAAATGAGACAACTTCCTTCCAATAAGATTTGTTACAAGGTTTAATGAAATAATACATGTAAATTACTTCACCAAGTTCCTGAAACAGAGTAATGACTTCATTACCATCAATTGTTGTTATTGTCCAATCTAGTTTTCTTATTTTCCAAGAGGAAATGTAGACATGCTGTGGTTCATTCCTATTTAGATGTCCACTCACCATGCCCTCCTCTACAACGGGCTCTAACAGGGGTGGGTTCCTTCAAACAAAGATGAGTGTAAGATGGAATGTAGACAACATTGGTAAAGCTGGGAGGTTGTTCAGCAGCAAAGCTGACACAGAGAGCTGTAACTATTTTCTATGAGGCATGTGGAAAACATTTTAAAGCACAGTGTTCAGAGAGAGAAGAATGAATCAGACACCAATAGAGCATCGAGCCTTAGCGAGTAAGGAGAGATGTCTTGATTCCTGATGATATTCCAGTTTCTGTTCCTGTCTTTTGTAAGAGAA